TTTAGCTTTGGTCGCCTTTTATATGAAGTATTTACCTATGGCAATACACCGTTTAACTGGCTCAAAGATGATGAGACTGAAAAGATAAGAAGCCTTGTAAGTTTTAATTTTAACTGGCGCTATTTTTGTACCTCTTTCTGCCTATAAACACCAGTGCCTCTTCCTCCATACAGTTCAGGCGTTAAAGTTTTTGTGGAGTACTGACCAGCTGTCGTTAGTAAGGCAGTGCATGCATAAACGTAAAACGAAAGGGTTATGCTTGAATTTCAGTGGTCCGGATGGAGAGATGAGCATGCCTTAATTGCGTTTTTATTTATATTATTTGTATCATATTAAGGTTTTGAGAGGCGGAACGCTGCATCAAGAGAAATGTATTCCAAATTGGATTTGGGAAATCATTGAAAATTGYCACCAGCACAGTGCTGACAAGAGACCAAACCTTGCTGCCCTCAAATACAGTTTGGGTGTGGCTCAGTCAAAATTTGAGAGTTCCGCAGGTATGTACATGTCTCATTAGAGCCTGGATATATCTTTCTTATTGATATCAAAGGTCTAACGGCAAAAAATTGCTCTTGATGGGCGATTTTTTCATTAGTTATGGATGTGAACCTATAAACTCTTGTCAATCCTTCACCAACATAAACCGTATTTTGGATGAGTGTAGAAGGAAACAAGTACGTAGTAATTGTATTCAGAAATGTTGAACTATTTTTCAGATGAAGACAGGCCACCAACAGAATATCCACCTTTGACACACCAGGATACACTTCAAACAAATGTAACTACTCACTTCCATATGCTAACGGCTAAGACTTAGTTTGTGATCTTGACGCTTTATCGCYTCAAAAGTGTTTTGSCRTCTAATATAACTTGTGACATCGACAATAATGTAATTATAGCTCTGATTATTAATATAGCTGAGCTCATGTTATGCCATTGACAAAGCTGAGCATTCGAAGGTTTTGGGGATTTTTGGCTTTCAAACGCTGGCAGACGATCGCCCGGAAATACAAAACATCAGAGGAGTAAGTTTATTGGTAGTTCATCTGAACTTACTAATGACCTCAAATTTATTTTTAGTAGAAAACTAGTTGTAAAGATAATGAACTCTTCTCTCCCAACAATAACAAAAAGATGGTAGTTCGTATAGTTAGACGTTTTCTTTGCAGAAATGAACATTAAAAGAGTACATTTTCTCTATGAAACTAAGTAAAGCAGTCTAATTTGGGAGATAATTTTTGCAAATCTAAAAAAGTGTGAGGCGTCTAGTTTTAATTCCATATAAATTGATAGTCGTCGTTTGCGAATACATTATAGGTTTCTCAGATAAGAGAAAAGGTTGAGAAAACTGTGGAAGAAAGTACAAGAAAGCTAAAAGATCTGCGTAATAACTATATCGTCAAAGTCCTGGCCATTACCGATTTCAGCCCGACGCACAACGCCATTGTAAGTACAGTTTTTTCGATTTTCTTTTTTTTTTCTTCTATACAAATACTACAATCCCTTCCTTCCATAAGCAGATATTCTCGTGAGAGAACGAGGATACCAAATAACAGTCCCAAGTATTTTTTTTTGTTATTGTTTTATTGCTATCGAGGTACTGTAAGAAGACAATATCTCATGAAAAGATTATGCTTTTCTCAGTTTAGAATTCTTAGTCTCCTCTAGCAGCCATTATGAGTGTCCCGCTCCCTTGCTCTGTGGAAGATTATAGAATTAAAGAGTGCCAAAAGTCATCCCAAAAATTCAAATAAATTGTGTGTCACTTTGAATGTTGTTTTCTACCGTTGTTATTCTATGCTTTAAATTAGCATTCTACACAAATCTTCTCGACGGCGGATACTTTTCCTCATAAGTTGACAGCTTGAACATCAGACACTTTCTCATGTATTCAAGTGTATTTTAAAAGCACTATTTGGGTTTGTCTCCCATCTTGCATCGCAGAATAAATTTCAGAGAGAACTCTAGTCAACTCCCTTTTTTTGGTCAAACAAATCAGCTAATGTTTTTTTCAAAAATGTTTCCTATATGTTCGTTGCAGTATTCAGAGAACTCAGAAAGAGGGAATCTCCTACAACTGGTGCTATCCAAACAATGCAACTCTATTGATCTTGTCAGATTCTTGGTGCAGATTCTCTATGGACTGGAGTTCTTGCATGACAGCAATATCTTGCATTGTGACATCAGAGCTGAGAATGTGATGGTATTCTACGATGAACATCAAGTATTAAGTGTATGTATGCGTTATTATGAATTCCTTGCTGTCAGTCAATGTATTGACGGATTTCATCGTTAAATTAATTTATTGCAAGGATTTTGCTCAATTCAGAATCCTATCCTTTTTTGACATCAAGTAAATTTCACTCCTGGTACATTTAAAAAGCACGATTTGATAGCCCAGCTCAAAAACCCACGCTATCTGCTTTTCACCCTTCGGAAAGTTTTAGGGTACACGTCACCTGAACTGTAAAAGCCGAGTGCCATCTTTGTACTGAACTGATGTGCATAGAGCACAACCTACAATGTTATGGAAAGTACATGGACAATCAGTTACTAAAACAAATTGAGCTATGCGCCCTGCTGTGTCCTAGCTCGATGTCCGTTCCGAGATTCATGTGTTTGTTTTGTATCCTTTGCGCCTTTAGTCTTTTCTCTTCCTGAACGATGGTTTTCGTTCTTAGTCCATAATTTCATATGTGGTGAGGGATGACAAGCATTCAATGTAGAGGTTTGATACAAAGCAAACGGTTGGCATTAATAAAGACATTAATAGACCTAATCGGCTTACGCGTTGACGTGAGTCACGTGACCTGAATTGGGTACTCATATCAAAACAAACAAAGCGTGTCATTTTCGCGGGAAACTTTGTCTTACAAAATGCCACATTTTTGCTGTTCAGGAGGCTGTCAAAATAGCTCGAAGCATAGAAAGGACCTGTCTTTTCATAGTCTTCCTTTGTTGGACAATCAAAAGAGGCTGCTTTCTCAGTGGATCACGAAAATGCGAAGACATCCTGATCATTTTCAACCAACTCGCCATTCAAAGATTTGTAGCGAACATTTTTTGCCGGATGATTTTATTAATCCTGTTTCAGTCAAACGCCGACTTAAAAAAGACGCAGTGCCTTCCATTTTTGCCTGGAATAGAGTAGAAGACATCACACAAACACCTGAGAGATCAGCAGCGAAAAAGTTAAATTCAGCGAGACAAGAACAAGACGAAGCGACGGACACTGCTTCGGAGGGCGAAGGCGACACTTTGCCAGGAATCGCGGGAATTTCTCGAAAAACTCAAACTTTTGAGGATGACTTTTGTTGCTTGGATAGTTCTACAAAGATCCCATGCACACACAGATTTTCGACTTCTCATCTTTTGTCAAAATGTACTACTGCAAAGAAAGAGGAAAAGTACTTTACTCATTTTACGAGTTTTAACAGCTATGCAGCTTNAATAGATTCTTATAGTTTAAATGAAGTCAATTAGAGTCTGTTTAAAGGAGTCTAACTGGTATTTTGTATGGGTTAATTCCATTGAATTTTGTGATATTTTCGAAATAGGGTGAACTAAATGCGTCATATCTTTTAAGATTAATGAGTGCCCACCAATGTTTTTAATGTTTTGATAACTAGAGACATAGATCTAATTGGGAAACAGTCATTTTTTTAAAAATCGATGTGCATTTTCAAAATATTGGCTCCAAAACTACACAAATTTTCAATAAATTCAAAATTGGAAATTTTTGTGTTCAGTCATGTGGTTGCCATGGCAACGGATTGACAGATGTTTCCATCTGTATACCTGATATCAGTAACTGATATGTATATCTTGTATGTCAAGAAGTTTGAGGTTGCTGTGAATAACCGTTACACTTTTATGCTTCTGCAAAGTTGAGGTTAATTTGTGCAATTTTTGTGCTAAAAATGGCCATTTTCCAGGGGGGAGCCTAACTTCCCCCCCTTTTGACCGATCTCAAAAAAAATATAGAATGTCAAATAACTTACTAAATGCAATAAGTGTGCCAAGTTTCAGGAGAATCGGCTGACCCCCATGTAGCACCCACTGCCTGGTTTTCTCGTGGACACACTCTTAATATGTGATCTTCAAAAAAATATTTTTCAATTGGAGACTGTAAGCTGTCTAGATCAAACAAGTTCAGGGAGTCTCCAGAGTTATAGACAGGAATGTCAGGGTATTCTGTGCATTTTTCATCTGAAGGCAAATCAAAACGAATATTGTTTGTTACAAAGAGAGTGTTGGGGCGACCAAAATCCTGAAGTTGGTATGACAAATAAGAACCAATAGGAACATTTCCAAACACTGTATTTACTTCTAATACAGACTCCTGATCTGATAGTAAATATGAAAATGGAGGGGGTTTGTCCATTTGCTTAAGATAACTGACCTGATCCATAATATTTACATTGTTCAATCCAGTCCTGAATTCTGGAGCGCGGGCATCATAAAGTTTACACCTTACAGGTTCTCTTGCTCTGTTTCCGTCGCGATCAGTAGAGGCACAAGCAAAATGAGTTCCCATTACTGGCAAGGGACTGATGCTTGATGCTCTTGGAATATGCCATTGCTGTGGCAAACTTGTACAAGTAGCATTGCTTGGGATATCTTTAACATTCAAGCATGAGTAATCGTTTAATTGATACAGTAGGGCAAACACGTGGTTACAATGACCGCCACTGCCGGCTTTACAAGTACAATGAGCCTTTTCAACGTTAGCGATGTTTTCTTTGTTTTCCTTTAGCATGACTATCAAATAATGTGGATCTTCACTCTTTTTTAACGATCGATAGCAACGGGATTTGATAAAGCAGTGGTCTTGACCATTACGATGTGCAGCATACATATCATGGATGTAGCCTTCCCGGAAGAATTTGTAACTTTTTTCGCTGGTATTTTTTCTGCCACACTGACTCATCCAATYTGTCAAGGTAGCAGGAGTAGCTTTCGGAACACTTCTTAATGATTTTGACCACGATAATTCGGCATTGCTAAAGCAAACACAGCATTTTACATGATTTTTGCAACAACAACACTCCACTTTCGAACCAACGTCCGCCATCTTGAATCGCATGTAAATACCCAATACAGGTCACGTGATTTCCAAGCCGATTAGGTCTATAAAGACATCCTTCCTTGTATGTTTTAAGGTCAAAATTGCCCGTCTTGGAAGATCAAGATACCTCCGAACATCACCTATTGAGCTTCCGCAAATGCCAGAAGATGCAATTACCAGGTAATACTACTAAACTGGTTTTTCCCCCGATGTGGTAGCTTGTGGTCAAGTGCATGTTTTGCTATCAAGGCTCATTTTCAATTTGGTTTTCTTGGCCAAATGCAAATGTGACTATGAAATCTTTATGATCCTTATAATAACTTTTTACAAGATCTTTATATAAAATTAGACCATGACTTCTTCCCAAGTAATTAGCTATAACTTTACGCTTTTGCTCATTTTTCAGGAGATCTCTAGAGACGATAAAGAACAAAACCTACTCCATCAGCAGCGATGTTTGGTCATTTTGTCTTTTATGCTATGAGTTGTATGAAGCTTATGACAATCGAGACCAACCTTGTCAACCTATCGATTGTGAGCCAATCAAGTGCGAAATAGAGGTTTGTCCCTAACAAAAATTAGCTTCAATATAGCAGAATCACATATCCCAAGTGTCAAGTACCAGAATATCTTTTCAACTTTTTTTGCTTTTGCTTTAATCATGTCAGTTTCGATTGTTTTGCTCTTCCCTTATTTGGAAAGTACGCGAGGTATCTTAAGAATTTTAAAACAGCAAAGTACTGATTTGCTTTTCTCCCTTTGAAGCCTTAAACAGTTAATAACAGCTATTTGTGCTTCGCGCCAGACCAGACCATGCCAAACATTGAAATTTGAAAAACACCATAAATGTATTGTTGAGTTAATTTGTCGATAAGGAAAAACTTGGCTAATTTTGCTCATTCTTTTGCTCATCATTTTAATCACAATAAAATGTTAACTCGTAATTATATTTTCAGAAAATTGTCGCTTATCTCGAAAGCAACAACCGTCCAGAGAAACCAAAAAGCATGCCGGACTGGTTATACATTGCAGTAAAGCAAGGCTTACTTTACAAACCAGAGGAAAGACCCCCTCCAATTCTCTTGCGCGATTGCTTGACATATCGGTAAGAAAAATACATTTCGTTCAAAGTGGATAAGCCTTACCTTTGTCTTACAATCCAATTGAAAATTTATTTTTCATAAATATAGATATGAGGTTCACAGTTACTCTTAACTTGATTAAGTGTACGTAATATATCTATAATCGGCTAACAATTTCGTATTCTTTTGATCTATTAATACAGCAAACCGTTTGAGTCTTGTTTGCTATCTCGATGGAAAAAGTATCATCCAGATTTGATAGTCGAACATAATGTCATCGATGTCGAAGTTGAACAGCCATCAATCCCTGAGTACGAACACGTGATACCGCCTGGCGAACACATCCCTTTCGATGAATTACAGCAGATGTCCTCAGTAGCTGTCTTCATGAATCACTCTTACAAATACGCACCAGGAAATGAACTAGCTGATGTTGATGATAATGAAGAATTATATGAAGACATACATTCTCCTGCGTACGTCAATATTGGAAGGGACATCGGAGAGAGAAGGGTGCGCGACGTCACTTACGATGAAGTCGTGAGGCAACAACTACCCTCCAGCCAGCCTACCCGGCCTCCTTCTACTCCATCTCCCAAGATAGTAGGAAAACCACCTCCTCGACCACCGAAGTCGGACCATTGCCAAGGTAAGTCTGCACATAATTTATATATTCGCAAGGCGTCCACAATAAGGATTCTTGCAGATTTTCTCAGACGGACTTTAGTAACGAGTGAAAATCTGGATGCGACGTTCGCAGGCTACATTTACATTTTTATTTAACATTAACCTCAATATTAAGAGCTGAGGAAATGATAATAACACGAATTATCGACACTTTTGCTATTTCTTTAGCTATTGTCCGCACTAAAGCCAATGCACTTTCTTTATAGCCATTAGGCGTCCAGCCCCATACCCACGCCGCTTACCATTGCAAACCCTGCCAAGCAATGAAAGCCGACATCAGTCGATAAACGATGAGGTATTGTATGTAAATATGCCCTTTGTTAACGACATGGCAAGAGAAATGGCAGGCCAACACGATAACGCGGAAGAACGATCCTGGCACTCATGGAATAGCTCAACACCGTCCCCAAGGCCATCTCGGCCACCCTCTTTTCAAGATGGCGCTGTTCGGGGAGATGACCCTGGCATTGGCTGAAAAGCATTTACGACCGAAATTCTGTATTGGCCCTTCCGAATTCAAAAGGGACTGTATGATATCTAACCACAAACTCGATGAAGTTTAAAGTAATATATAAGATATGAGCGGGAGACTTTTATTGGCATTTAAAACTGCGAGCTCTGAAGCTTTTACGTCATGAACAGTATATGCAATGCATTATAGCATATATTTGGGATAAAACATGGCGGATTTCTTTTGTTTTCTCCAGAAACTGATCCCACAATGCATTGCAAATAGGTGACGTGAAAGCTTCAGAAATGTATGAGGGGAACTTATCGATCTGCCTAGCCTGCTGTTCAGTATACATGTACAGTACACATGTACATAATAATCAATTGTTTAATTTTTTGCCATAAACTTTTCAAATGGTTCTGAACTATTTTTTTAGCTATTACAAACACTAATATACATGTACACTATGGATGTAAATATCTTAATATGTAATTTTTTACTTACATGTTTGTGTACATTTAGCTTATTTTAATATGCAGTTTTTCACCAACATGAATGTGCACATTTAGCAACTTTTATTAATGCAATATTCCGATGGAAAAAAAGTATCATCCAGATTTGATAGTCGAACATAATAACATCGATGTCGAAGTTGAACAGCCATCAATCCCTGAGTACGAACACGTGATACCGCCTGGCGAACACATCCCTTTCGATGAATTACAGCAGATGTCCTCAGTAGCTGTCTTCATRAAGCACTCTTACAAATACGCACCARGAAATGAACTAGCTGATGTTGATGATAATGAAGAATTATATGAAGACATAAGTTTACCTGCGTACTATTTTTTAACTATTAAAAACACTAATATACATATACACTATGGATATAAATATGTAATTTTTACCTACATGCGTGGTATGTGTACATTTAGCTTATTTTAATATGTAGTTTTTCACCAACATGAATGTGCACATTTAGCAACTTTAATTAATGCAATATTCCGATGGAAAAAAAGTAAAGAAAAGCTTGTATGGTAAATACATAGAAAGTTGCTTGTTATGTTCAAGCGAAATAGTCTATGTGCCCCATGCTGGGATTCTAAATATTCGCTTTTTTGTGAAATTCAAAAGATGATGTAAATATAATTTTGAGTAAAATAATAAAAGGAACGAAAAGTTTTCTTGTCTATTATGTACCGGTGAAGTAAAAAATAACATTTGACCAATCAGGGATCGCGTACTATGATAGCTATAATAAATTGCTGAATAGATCATAATTGTATAGGGTACAGTTATACAGTATATTTTGTGTATTTTCAATTGATCACATAAAATGTAAGGAACTTTGCTATTGTTTCCTAGTACAACCAGTGAATATAATTTATTTCAATACGCAGAAATACGATGGAAACAAACGTTTCGTGCAGCTACGGAGGATAACTGATTTACAACACGTTCTCGATGACTGTAATTGTACGTGCGTAACAATTTGTATTTGTTTCATGGTTACTCACTATGAAGAGAGTCAACATATCAATCTCATCTCCACACCTGTACTCGTTTGCGGAACGATTCAAGCACAAATACTTGACCATCTGGTGTAACAGTAACTTCATAAGGAGCATCCATCGTCAATATGTCAATTATTATAATTAATTATTCGGCAAATTAACTTATCAACAAGAATTATCGATAATCACTGTTAATTCTGTGAAAATTTGAGTGCAATCGAATCAAATTTTGCGACGTAGTTGGAGTCGAAAAATACGCGCAAAGCGCTATTTATTATGATCGAAACACCTTAACTCTAGGCACACAAAGATGTCAATTATACAATGCAATTCACCAACTAATGATGCAGAGGACGAAATTAAAGACATCTTCTACCAATAACTACAGAAAGCAATCAATGAGATGCCAACCCACGATCTACTTCTACTAATGGTAGAAGTTTAGATGCAAAGGTAGGGAACAAAAATGAAGGAAGGGAGAAATGGGATCTCATAGATGTGGTGTCATGAATGAAAACGGAGAACTTTTGTCAGATCTCTGTGGAATAAACAATCTTGTTATAGGAGGCACCATCTGTCCACACCGAGAAATACACAAGAAAACATGGATATCTCCAAATGGACGAGACAAAAACCAGATCGATGACCGGTGGAGACATTCCCTTCATGACGTAATTACAAGACGAGGTGCAGATGTAGGTAGCGATCACCATCTACTACTAGCTACAGTTGAACTCCACCTTAGCAAAGCACAACGAATTCAAAGTCAACACAATCATTAAAGTTTAATACAGCAAGACTAAAAGATCCCAAGATAAACAAGAAGTTTAGCCTTGTTCTCAAGAACAAATATCAAGTGCTGGGTGACACTGGAGAAGAAGGTTTGGATGGAGACGTTGTTCTCTACTTGGAGTAATATTAAGGAGGCATATATCCACGCATGTAAAACTGTATTGGGAAAAAGGAAGAGGAAATTCAAAACCTGGATAACCGAGGAAACATGGAATCTCATAGACACAAGAAGGAACCTCAAAGAGAAGAAACAGAGTTCAAGGTCTACAAGATTGCTTGAAAGGTACAACCTACAATACACCGAAACCAACAAAGAAATTAAAAGGAGGCTACGACAGGACAAAAGAGCTTACTACGACAAGTTATCATTAGAGACAGAGAGACTAGCAAGTCGTGGCGAATTAAGTCTGAAGTTTACAAAATTACAAGAAAATTATCCGGAAAACTGTAAACCAGTTAGGGATGAAAATGGTGTGAAAATCATGCAAGAGGAAGAACAACTGAAAAGGTGGGCAGAACATTTTACGAAAGTACTAAATAGACCGCCGCCACCAATAACAACAATCACCGATTTTACTTTTGGAGATGTCCTTGACATCAATTGCGACCCACCAACAGAGGAGGAGGTATAAGGGCAGCCATCAACGAATTAAAGAACAGCAGAGCATCTGGAATAGATAACATTACTAGTCAAATGCTGAAAGCCGATATAAATCTCACGATAGAGTCTACTCCTCCACTTGTTTACCAAGATATGGAACTCAGAATCACTACCAACCGACTGGTGCCAAGGTCTTATTGTTAAATTACCAAAAAAAGGGAGACAAAAAATCTGGTTCAAACTGTCGCGGCATAAAACTTCTCTATGCCAAAGTAAATTTTCTGCAAAATTATTTGTACAAGGCTAGATGGATCAATCAACAATCTACACTATTCGAAAGCAACAGGCAGGGTTTAGTTCAGGAATGGGATGTATAGATCACATATTTACTTTAAGGAACATAATGGAGCAGTCTATTGAATGGAACAGCAAAATCAATTGGACTTTATAGAGTTTGCGAAGGCTTTTGACATTTACACAGGGAAACTCTTTGGAATATCCTTATGTCATACGGATGCCCAGATAAATTTTCTACGATCATAAAATTGTTCTACAGTAACTTTTTCTGTAGTGTAATCCAGTTTAGTAAACTGTCCGACTTGTTTAACATTACAAGTGGTGTGAGACAAGGCTGCACAATGTCACCTATGCTGTTCCTTGTTGCTATCGACTGGGTCATGAGTAAAACAACTGGAAATAAACGTAAAGGAATAAGGTGGACATTAACATATATGTTAGAATATATAGACTTTGCCGACGATATTGCTCTTATATCAAGCAATAGCGTTCATCTGCAAAAGAAGACCGATGACCTAAGAATAGCTGCAGAACGGGTAGGCCTAAAAATTAGCAAGAAGACGAAAACCATGCAACTCACGGGCGTACCACCCACAATAAACTTAGGTACTGAAGCGCTGGAAGAAGTAGACGAATTTAATTACATACCTTGGCAGTATAATCATCAAAGACATTGCAACAGAGAAAGACATCACAAACCGGCTACAGAAAGCAAGATTTTCTTTTCACCAACTTAATAAATCATGGAAATCACGTAACATCAGAGAGAGGACCAAGCTAAGGATTTATAACAGCAATGTTTTGCAGTACTTCTCTATGGTGCAGAATGCTGGAGAATAGTACAAAGAGACAGCAAAAGACTGACAGGATTCCACTCATCCTGTCTAAGAAAGATCTGCAACATCTAGAAAATATCGAACCTAGAACTATATGAAAGGACAGGATAACAGGACATCACGTCACAAATTAAAATGAAACGCTTGAAATAGCTCGGGCATGTATTAAGGAAAGAAGATAATATAACGAGACAGGCATTGAAATGGACACCAGATGGTGGGAAAAGGAAAAGACCAAAAGAAACTTGGAGAAGGACAATAGAGAAAGAACTTAAGAATATTGGAAAGACCTGGGGAGAAATAGAAAAGATTGCCAAAAGGAGATTTGGATTTTCTTGGTGAAGGCGCTGTGCCACCTTAGGCACTACAAAGAAGATGTGTTGTGTTGCAGAACATTTTTGACAACTACACTTCCTGCAAGTGATGCAGTAGTAATCGAGACGGCATTTCTGGTGAAATTTCGCCTTACAAAGGTTTGGTTGTTGATGTAGCTATTGACATTTTGTGTCACTCTTGAATTCCCTACACAATGGGTTAATTTTTATCAATGGTTTTGTTGTTTTGTCAGTTCCTTGATGCATTTATTAACAAATCAATCCTTCACATTGACGACAAAATCCGACAAATATGCTTCCTTTTTTGCAACTTACACACTCTGAAATCTGCTGTTGGTTGTGCCTTTGACATCATGACGCTGAAAAGCTGAAGCAGCGAGTTGTAGGTAAACGAAGTAGGAAGATTCTGAATGAGCTTCCTTCTTCGTTTACTTACATCTCGAAGTTCGAGATGTCGTCTCCTTCGATGTTGACTTCTGCTCAGCCTCTTTCTTTCTCTCTAACAAGCCTCGTTCCAACTTTTGATGCAGTTAAAGTAAAAAGTAGGTAGACACGGTATTGTTCTTGGATCAGTAAAGATATCCAAGAACACTACTGTGTCTACATACTTTCTACTATATAAGTCGTCATTAGAAGTGTTTAAGTTCCGCCATGTTGGCCAGGCAAACTTGGCAGATCACGAGACAAACGACTCTGTTTGCTCCGCATTCTTCCGAAAATATCAAATGATACTGATTCAGTGTTATTGAGTTTATTGGTTTCTTTCCGCATTCATACATGACCGAGAGGAAATTGGGAATTAAATTCGTCACTTAAATTCGGCGTCTAAATCAAATGCCGTATTCAATGATTTAAGTCGACTAAAATAAGAGTTGTATTTGGCACATGTTAAAGGGACACTGTCAATGGCACGCATGCGTGAGTAAACTTGAAAACACTAGGCTAGTGTTTTCAAGTTTATGACTTCAAGTTGGCGCGACATAAATCAGCTCGTAAACGTAAACAGATCTAGAATATTCCAAAGTGTGTCAAAAGCACCACAAAATGATTTACCTCGAAGGTAATACTTTCAAAGTCCGTTAGAGGTGAGACTGTTACTGCGCATGCCATCCATTGACAGTGTCCCTTTAAGTTCGGCGTATAGCGCTGGTCTTAAGAGCGAATGTCCACTAACACCGAGCAAAGGGTGGCACATGATGAAAAATCAAAATCTTTCATATTTTAACCATTGAGACCCTATTACATACTAAAAATCATGGTGGGGTTTGTTTTCGAAAATTTTATTTTAAACGCGAGAAATGGCTGAAATTGACAAAAACATCGCACGGCTACACGGTCCCCGTATAGCAAATATATGGG